AATTATAATTTGTGATATAAAAAGATTCACAACATTTAATAGATATAGAAAAATAACAAAAATTAGTATAGGTCTAGATAAAAAGTGAATACAAATTTTAAAACATTCTCAAAAAAAGGACTAGTGGGCGCCTGGGTGGCTCAGTTGGTTAAGCGACTGCCTTCGGCTCAGGTCATGATCCTGGAGTCCCGGGATCGGGTCCCGCATCGGGCTCCCTGCTCGGCAGGAAGTCTGCTTCTCCCTCTGACCCTCCTCCCTCTCATGCTCTCTGTCTCTCATTCTCTCTGTCTCAAATAATAAATAAAATCTTTAAAAAAAAAAAAAAAGGACTAGTATAGTTTAATAATAATTTATAGTTAATAGCTTATGTTACCGTAGCAAAGAACAAATGGCAACAAAGGCTGTGTGGGTGTGGGGGGTGATATGTGTGAGAACAAGCTCATGTGTACACCCATGCCTGTGTGTGGAGGTGGTACAGGGAGTGGGAAAACAGGAAAGGAGAAAGAAACAGTGTATTAAACCCTTTGCCTATCACGGGGAGAAAGATTCATTTCATTTTTGGATTATGGCAAAACTGAAAAGTAAATACTAATAGAAATAAAGAAAAGAGATATGTATGTGTACGTACCATCCGATACATGGGAGATCCAAGGACAGAGAATCCCCAACTCACAAAGAGATAGAAAGCAAAGGAAATACTATTAAAAGTACAGAATATCATACAGATGAAAAATGACCAAATATATAGATTATAACAATTGTAAATGGGTAGATTAAAGGGAAATGATCTTCAAAATGAGTTTAAAAATCCAATCAAATTTTCTGTTTACAAGCGATGCATCCAAAATAAAATTACAGGGTGCCTGAGGGCTCAGTTTTAAGTCTGCCTTTGGCTCAGGTCATGATCCCAGGGTCCTGGGATCAAGTCCCACATCGGGCTCCCGGCTCAGCAGAAAGCCTGTTTCTCCCTCTCCCTCTCCTGCCTCTTTGCCTGCTTGTGCTCTCTCCCTCTGTCAAATAAATAAATAAAATCTTTAAAAAAAAAAACAAAACAAAATAAAATTACAGATTAAAAAAAGTAGAGACAACAGCAAACTGAATTCAAAGCAAATAAAACAAAACAAAAGCAAACAAAGAAACATTAAATGAGAAGACAAAAAAGGGTAATTTTATATTGATAAATTTTGTAAACTCACCAAAAAAGTAAAATATCATAGACATAAGCTGAATATACAGAACTAGACTATATAAACCAAAATGCTTAGCTATTCAACAAAAAAATGACAGAAAAAATATACTAATGAAAGACTAACATTCCACTCCTGAGCTACAACAGATTAATAGGGGAATATACCAAAAAGAATGCAGAAATTCTAAAATCATAATTTATGCTCTACCTTAATTCCAGGAATATTTACAAATTTTATGTGTACCATTAAGCCACAAAGGAAATCCTTAAAAATACAGCATAGGAAAAAGTGTATATTTAGGTCCATGTTCCCTTTCCAAAAGCACACAAAAAAAGAAATGACAAATTAACAGCAAAAGTTAAACTTAAAAAAAACAAATCACTCTAAAATTTGAAAATTCTCCTAATAAGTTTGTCTTCAAAGAAATAATAGCCTTCCATCTATGACTCTCAATTGTTCCATACTTTTAAAAAGGTATTTCAACTGAAAGCTCTTAGAAGATCTTTTCACCATTCCTCCCCCTGACATGCAGAGATCACAATTATTTTTACATATTTACCAAGCATATACCATATATTCAGCTTTCTGGCTGATTATTCAGTGTAATATGCAAAAGTAGAAAGGTCCCTAACATTAAAGGAGAGTATGATTGAGTTGAGGAGTTAGAAAAATCAAACAGCAGTCACCAACAGAAGATAAATATAGAAATTCAGAGAAAGAGGAGACCAGAGGAGAGAGGGAAGACTTATTTATGTGACTTGAGTTAGGACTAGAAGATAAAAGAAATTGGAAAATCCAAAGAAGAAATGAGGAAAACATTCTGGTCAAGAACACTACATCGAAGAATGTTAAAGAATGAAATGGTTAAATACTGACGGTTATAGTAAGTTACTATAGTAGATATAGCCTAGGAAGAAAAACACTGAAGTACCAGACCAAATTGTTTATCCTAAAAAACGAGCTGCAGTTAAGATTTTAAAGCACAATGGCTGTGGTTGCCAGCTGAAGTATGGAAAGGTTCTCATCACTTTGAACATCCATTCAAATAGACTTCCACTTTGAGGTATATTTCATATCTCTAGAGAGAATAACATTACGGAGAAATGATGATCTTTATTTGCCGTTTGGGAAACTGACCACAGCAGAGCTAAGACACTGGCCAGGCTTCCACAGCTACTTCGTGCAATTAGAGGAAAACAATAATAGCTGAGATTTTAAAGAATATTATCACATTCGTGCTCTTCTTATTCTTTAAACTACAAACTATACACTTATATCACATTCCCATAGTTTAACACAAAAAATTAAAATAATTAAACTAAAAAAAAAAAAAATCTCTCTAATCAAGAATGCCGTTTACCCTGAAAAGAAAGAAGGAAACACAGACAGATTTAGAATTGGTTTACAATAAACAAGGTAAAGGATTTGGACTGCCAAGTAAATGGGAGTGGGAGGAAATAAAGCATCTTAGTTTCTGAGCAAAATGCTGTTATTAAGTATAATTGCATCAACTTGATCCAAATCCAGTATTTCTTATTCACTGAAAAGAAACATATTAAAATAGCAGCAATTTCCTCTACAAATAAACACATTCAGCCAAGGAAGTTCAACCAAAAAAGTTTAACTCTAAAGGTAATAAAAAGCAGAAGCAAAATTATTTCACTGCTTCTAATTTCAAATGATAACTTCTAAACATAAATACACTATAGCTAAGTCAATAATAATCACTTTTAAAATTCTAATACAAATTACAATGAAATTCTTTCAGTCTAACTCTATACTTATATATGCTAAAGTACATAAAAATAAGAAAAATTTTCCAATGAATAATTAAAAGCTGTTGTTATATATTAATAAACTGTGGAAATCATTAATGGCAATATTTACATTTGTTTATAATTATGATGTTGAAAAAGCTATGAGAAGAAATAGAAGTTTCACTTACAAATACCCAAGTTCAGAGGTGACAGACTACTTCTGAATATAAGCATCTTGATTCACACTACATGGAAATGTGGTTTTTTACTCCTAACAATTTCAGTTATTTCTGGACCCTTAACTCATAAGATGCATCTGAACTGAAACCATAAATTAACCATAAATATCTGCTCAGAAACTGTATCTTTGAGCTTCTCTGAGTACAGTTGACTCTTGAAATGTAAAATAAGCATTTCAACTAAATGGTCTCAATAAGATCTTTCTATCTATCACTCTCCTCTGCCCCACATACACACAAAAACCACAATGAGCTTTTAGTATTTAAACCTATAAGCCAAGATGAGCCACATACCCATCAGTGTGGATCTGTCTTCTTACACCTGAGTTGTCACTTGGGAGGCCAAAGAGAAGAGCTCTTGGATGGATATATGGACTACTGCAAGAATTACTCTCCCAGAAGAGAAATACTTGACATTGCCCTGCTGGCAAGATGTTTTTCCTGTTCTAAATCCTTCTAAGTAAATCTGATTTAAAATGTCTGGTGAATCTAAGTGTTTGGTTGAACTTAAAAGACTATCTGGTAGATGTTGTAAAAGCCAATCTTAAAATTTTATATTTTTCTTCAGATACAAAATAACTATAATTTATGTTAAGTGCATAGCAATTATATGATGGTATTTTCTCATAAAACATGAGAAAACTTCTTTTTAAAATAGTCAATGTTTTCAAAATGGTGTTTCCATTTTTCCAATATTCAGGCTTCAGATTAACCATTAATGCAAATATGAATACCCTTCATTGAGCTTCAACAATATTACACATCCAATCTCTTAATTTGGGAGAATTAGTCATACTGATCAGATACTACAGGTGCCACTGAAGAATTCTACATTTGGTTTTTAAATTTCAATAAAATTATCTAAATAAGCAGAACTGACTAGATCTAGGGAATCTATAAAGCTTTAGAGAAAGTTGAGTTTCTAGGGGGATCTGGCTAGCTCAGTCAATGGAGCGTGCGACTCTTGGTCTCAGGGCTGTGAGTTCAAGCCCCGCATTGAGTGTAGCGATTATTTAAAAATAAATTCTTTTTTAAAAAAAAGAAAGTTGTGTTTCTACATATTTACTGGGATTTTCAATTCCTAAACATAATCTGAGATGCTAAAGGTTAGTCAGGATCTTGCCTTCTATACTGACAACCAAGAAAAATTACACAGTTATGTCTCATTTCTCTTATTTTTGATAAATTTTGTAAATTTAAGGTATGGATTTTATCTTTCATTTTAAAAGCAAATTGGTCCTTTTTAAAATCTGAACTGTCTTAAATACATAATCATTAGCAATTCTGCACCACTTGACATAATAAGGCCTGAAACAAGTTTTGATGTGTAATAGTCTCAGTCTAATAGTAACTGATCTCTAAATGGAACCCATCAAATGCTTGAAGAAATCCTTTCCTATTTTAAAAAAAAATAATCTACCAGGTAAGCCATTTTCTTTAAATCTTTAATTTACAAAAGATATCTCACTAGAGATACTAAATAAAAATGATTGAGGGGATTAAGGAGTGCACTTGTCATGATGAGCACTGGGTGATGTATGGAATTGTTGAATCAATATATTGTTCACCTGAAACTAATATAACACTTTATCTTAACTATCTGAGAATTAAAATAAAATAAAAATGATTGATGAAGCCTAAGTAAGGCCTTTTTATATCCTTTTCCAATAAAAGTTATATTTTAAATTATTTCCATTGTTGACATTCAGACTACAATGTCACCTGTCATTCCTAGTAAAATCACTTGCTATTGTTTCATAAAACTTCTACAGAATTCCTAGACTAAGATCCTAAAAAAAAGTTAAATCACTTACTGTAAACAGCCCACTCTTACTGCTACAGGAATATGGGGAAGCTGAGTAGCCCACTTCAGTGTCACATCCTGATAAATATGCAACATGTTATTATGGTTTCCAATCAAAGTATTTGTTGTTCCTTCAGAAACTGTATGTTGAATATAGAAAAGAGGATAATAAGAAAACAGTTATTTGCAATAGTATATCACTTTTAAGGGATTTATGATACAAACTAATTCTAATGTCTTAATGGAAAAGCATAAATAAGGTATTTATTTTAAGTAATAAAATAGTATTTTTCAACTTCAAGCACCAATATCAAAAATTAAAAAAATAATTTTACAGACTTGGGAACTATAAGTAGATGGCAGCCAACATTTTTGCATTTTATCAAGAAAGCATGAATTTCATTAATATTTAACACAATGAGCTAATGGTTTTTACTGGGCACTGGCTACAGATAAGTCATTCCATTAGGCATTACTATGCTCCTTTCTGCTTATAAAAGAATCTGGTGTTCTTTTGCAAACATCTTGAACTGCCACTTTTTGGAAAGCATAAATGTATACCTGAGGCCAATTCTCCAAGACATTCTATGCAAAGTAAAATGACTGACAAAACCAAATGTGTGCTTTATATCAAATGTGTATTCAAACTTTAAAAGTTAAAATTTCCATTACATGTTCTATATAAAACTATTTTCTTAGATGTTTAAAATATATGCGTGTGAATTTGGCTTTTCCTGATGTATATAACATAGCCTTGACATATGGAAAAGATAAAAGAAAAATCCTTCTACACACCTGAGCAATACGGGAGAAAACAACTTGGGCTACAATCAAGTTTCTTCATGAATCGAATCTGTCCATTATCCTTAAGGCAAAAAAAGTTTCTTTCACCAAGAACAAAAACAGAAGATGCTGACTGATTAAAAGAGACAATACATATATCAAGTGCTTGCTCTCCAATATTTAGAGTCCAATCCACCTACAAAGGAAAACCTAAAATCAATTTAGTTGCTAAAAACAAAGCATTTCAGTCACTTTCATATCAATACAATTAAAAAACTGTTTTACAACAAAGCAGACATAAAGATTGGCTGTCTTCATTCACTATTTTTTTTTTTTGCAATGACCATATTTCTGATATTTTATACACTCTAGTAGATTTTGTGCCATCTTTTACCAGATGATATAAGTTCTTCAGTGGTTCAAAATTACTCATAAATTTGGGAAATGGGGCAGGAAAAAAGAATACTCATATAAATTTAACCAAGGAGGTATAAGACCTGTACAATAAAACTATAAAATGTTGATAAAGAAACTGAAAAACACTAATAAATGGAAAGATATGCCGGGTACATCAATTAGAAGAATTACTATTATTAAAATGACCATTCACCCAAAGTGATCTACAGATTCAAATTCCTATCAAAGTTCCAATGGCATTTTTCACAGAAATATAACAAAAATCCTAAAATTCATACGGAACCACAAAAGACTCCAAATAGCCAAACCAATCGAGCAAAAAGAACAAAGCTGGAAGCATCAAATTACATGATTTTAAGTACACTATAAAGCTATACGTAGCAAAACAGCACACTGCTGGCATTAAAAAACAAAAACAAACAAACAAAAAGCAACCTAGACCAATGGAATAGAAAAGAGCCAAGAAATAAATGCATTTACAGTCAATTGATCCTCAACAAAAGTATCAAGAACATACAATAAAGACAGTCTCTTTAACAAATGGTGATGGGAAAACTTAATATCCACATGCAGAGGAGTGAAATTGGACCCCTATCTCATATCATATCCAAAAGTCAACTCAGAATTGGTTAAAGACTTAAACAAAAGACCTAAATCTGTAAAACTATTAGAAAAAAAAATAAGGAAAAGCTTTTTGTCATTGGTTTGGGCAATGATTTTTCAGATATGACCTCAAAAGCACAGGCAACAACAGTAAAAATAGACAAAAGGGGTTGCATCAAACTAAGAAGTTCCTGCACAGCAAAGGAAACAATTAACAGAGTAAAGAGAAAATCTAGGGATGGGAGAAAATCTTGCAAACCATCTACCCAATAAGGGGTTAATACTAAACATACATAAGGAGCTAGACAACTCAATAGCAAGAAAATTGCCTGATTTAAAAATAAGCAAAAGAATTAAAAGATATTTCTCAAAAGATATACAAATGGCCAACGGGTATATGAAAAAATGCTCAACATCACTAAATCATCAGGGAAATGCAAATCAAAACCACAATGACATATCACCTCACACCTGTTAGAATGGCTATTATTTTTTTTTTAAGATTTTATTTATTTATTTGAGAGAGAGAGCACGAGAGGGAAGAGGGTTAGAGGGAGAAGCAGATCCCTTGCTGAGCAGAGAGCCCGATGCGGGACTCGATCCCGGGACTCCAGGATCATGACCTGAGCCGAAGGCAGTCGTTTAACCAACTGAGCCACCCAGGTGCCCCAGAATGGCTATTATTAAAAAGACAAGAGATAAGTGTTGGCAAGGATATAGCGAAAAGGGACTCCTCATGCAACTGTTGGTGGGAAGGCAAACCAGTACGGCTACTGTGGAAAATGGTAGGGAGGTTTCTCAAAAAATGAAAAAATAGAATGACCATATGATCCAGCAATCATACTTCTGGGCATATATTCAAAGGAAGTGAAAACAGGATATCAAAGAGATATCTACATTCCCATGTTCACTGCAGCATTATTTGCAATAGCCAAGATATGGAATCAACTGAAATGTCCATTGATGGATAAATGAATAAAGAAAAATGAGATATTATATAGAATATATATACTATATAATGTGTATAATATAATGGAATATTATTCAGCCTTTAAAAAGAAGGAAATCCTGCCATTTGTGACAACATGGATGAACGTGGAGGGCATTATGCTAACTAAGTGAAATAAGCCAGGCACAGAAAAACAAACACTGCATGATCTCACTTATATGTGGGATCTAAAAAAGGTAAACATATATAAGCAGAGAGTGGGATGGTGGTTGCCAGGGTCTGGGGGAAGATGGAAATGAGAAGATGCTGGCCAATGGGTAAGAAGTTTCAGTTACACAGAATTAATAAATTCTGGAGACTTGATGTACAGTCTGGTGACTATAGTTATAATACTGTACTGTATAGTACATATACTTGAAATTTGTTAAGATAGATCTTAAATGTTAACATAAAAAAAGGTAACTATGTGAGGTGATAGATTTGTTAATCAGCTTAATTATGGTAATCATTGCACAATGTATTTATATATCAATAGATGTAGTTTACCATAAGTTTATACAATTTTTATTTGTCAATTATACCTCCATAAACCTGGAGGGGGGGGGGAAAGGCAGGTAGCGAATTGGTTGAGAGAATGCCCTATGCAAAGTGAACCACCTATACAAAGATCTTAAGACAGAAAAGGAAGGATCATGACTTGTTCAAAAAATACATATATACACATAAAGAAGTTACCTGCTTCACTGAAGAATTTCCCTAAGAGAAATTTCCATATTGTGTTTACTTTGCAAATCAAATTTAATAATCACTAAAACCTAACCAATATTGTTGTAACTATAATATTTTAATATAAAGACAATTTAAAAATGTATCAATATGTATATAAAGAGCAGTCATCAAGCTGTCCCAGGAATACAGACAGGATCCTCTATGCCTCAAGAGCTACTCGAGGGTAACTCCGTATCTCTGGAACATGGTCAGTGTTTAAGAAATGCTTCTTAAAACAAGGAAGGAAGGAAAAAAAAAGAAGAAAAAATAAAAATAAAAACAAGGAGGGAATGAATGTAATGAACATGCTTCTCAGAATTCAGCCCCCAATCAATATTTTTAAATTAAAAAAAAAAAACAGAAAAGAGGAAAGACATGGGCTGACATATACAGACATATACTGTATTCAGACAGCAATGATAGTGAGATGGCTCCACAAAAGCATCGGGACAAAGAGGAAATAAGACTGCCCTCAAAGTTAGGCTCTAATCAACAAATAATGGATCAAAGAAGAGATATGAAAACTCACACTAAAGATACAAATTTCTGACCATCAAGATATGACTTAGGTATTTATCTACTTCAGGTATTAAAATATCTGAAGAAGGTATGAAATCCAAATGCGGCTGGACAGGGGGAAGAACAAATATTATTGGTGTGTATATAAAAACAACCTGAAGGAGGAAGACAGCATAGTGAATATAGGTGAATGATCGATTATCTTAATCTGAATCAGGATTCAACACTAAGAAATTATTCAATTGGGGCGCCTGGGTGGCTCAGTCGTTAAGCGTCTGCCTTTGGCTCAGGTCATGATCCCAGAGTCCTGGGATCAAGCCCCGCATCGGGCTCCCTGCTCTGCGGGAAGCCTGCTTCTCCCTCTCCCGTTCCCCCTGCTTGTGTTCCCTCTCTCGCTGTGTCTCTCTCTGCCAAATAAATAAATAAAATCTTTAAAAAAAAAAAAAAAAGAAATTATTCAATTACCATTAAGTTCAAGTGTAGCTGACCTATATGAAAAGATTCCATGGTACACAAAACATAAATGTCAGTCCCATGAGTCACATTTCTCCTTACATTTTAATAGGCCATCATTCTAGCATTAAATATCACCGTTAGGGCGCCTGGGTGGCTCAGTCGGTTAAGTTTCCGACTTCTGATTTCGGCCCAGGTCATGATCTCAGAGTCATGAGATGGAGCCTTACATCAGGCTCCATGCTGGGACTGGAGCCTACTTAAGATTCTCTCTCTCCCTCTCCTTTTGCCCCTCCCCCCTTCTCTCCATCTCAAAGAAAGAAAGATCACTGTCTATAACTTGGGCTGATATGTCCCTGACAATTCATTCAGAATGGATAAGCAAACCAAGTTTCTGATGCTGCAGGCTGAGATCCAGCCAGTAAACGCTTTTAATTCACTAGGCACTGAGTACCACTCTCTGTGACCTCCCCTTAGGGAAATATACCACATTCTAAATTAATGTGTCTCAAAAAACACAGAAGTTTACTAAGAATAATAATTTTAAAATTCTTCCACTTCCAGCCAAGACAGAGTAATAGGAAAGACTTTACCATCCCACCTGAAACAATACAACGTGGACAAAACATATGAAACAACAGTTTACAAGGCACTGAATATCAGACAACAAAGGACAGCAATCCCTTGAGAACAAAACAAATGAGGTGAGTGGTTTGACTGCTCTATCCGTGGGACAGTTTTCAGGCCATGGCCCCAGGAGGAGGAACCAAGGCAAGGCCCAGCAAACTCCCTGAATTGAGGAAATGAACACTGGGAGTTCAGAGAAAGCAAAGCAGATGAGCACAGACAGCATGCCAAAAGGGAGAGAGCAGCACAGGGACAGAACTTTGACATCTGTAAGGAATCCTCTCAAATATTCATCTGAGTACTTATCAGCACATTCATGTAAAGAAACGACCCAAAGCCAGGGAAAGAACCACCCAAAAGGATTAGAGGTAACAGTGCCCAGCATTCATACCACCTGGAATACAGCCTGTACCAGCCAGCAGATTAGAACACCTCATAATTCCAAGGAAGCTGAGTAGAGCACTCAGAAGGGTCTTATCTCAGGAGTGGGGAATAAGCAGCCTCAGGATGAGTGCTGCTCTGGTCCTAGCTAACAATCCAAAAGGATCAAGCTGCCCAAGTACCATAACTACATCCCAGGCCTAAGCTCAAGAACAGTTATAGGAATACAAAAATATCTGGCACCCAAAAGTAAAATGACTATATCTGGCATCTAATAAAAAATCAGCAGACATGTAAAGAAACAAGAAAATATGATTCGCAAAGAAGAGATAAATAAGTCAACTGAAACTAGACTCAAAACTGATGCAAGTGTTAGAAAACAAGGACATTAAAACAAATTTTATCAGTGTATTCTATATCTTCAAAAAGTTATGTAGAGACATAGAAGATATAACAGAAAAAGAAACCAAATTGAACTTGTAAAGATGAAAACCATGAGAATTAACACCAGATTAGACATTACAGAAAAAAGATTAGTAATCTTGAAAACACAGCAAAACAAAATAGAAAAAAAATGTTTTTAATGAAAATAAAATCTGTGAGCTGTGAGATAACTTTAAGTAGGCTAATGTATGCGTAACTAGAGTCCCCAGAGGAGAGAAGAAAGATGGAACATTAAAAAAAAAAAAAAGTTTGAAGAATTAAGAGTCAAAAATTTTCTAATTTTCATGAAAACTATAAATTCACAGATGCAAGAAGCTCAACAAATTCTAAGCACAAAATAAAGAAAACTACACAAAGCCACATCATAGTCTAATTGCTTAAAAAAAGTGATAAGAGAAAATCAGAACAGCAGCCAGAGGAAAAAAGATACTATGAAGAGAGGAACAAAGATAAGAATGTAGGCAGATTTCTCATGAGAAACAATGGGAGCAAGAAGAGAGTGGAGCAACCTCTTAAAATGCCAGGGAGGGAAAAAAATCTGTCAAACTAAAACCTTATACCCAAAGAATATATTTTCAAACACAAAGGCAAAAAAAATCTTGGAGACATAGAAAAACTGAAAGAATTCATCACCAGTGGACTCGCACTGAAAGAAATGTGATAGCAAGTCCTTCAGGAGGAAGAAAAATGACACCAGATGGAAATACAGTTTACACAAATTAATGAAAAGTACCAGAAATGGTAACTATATGGGTAAATATATATTTTTCTTATCATTTAAATCACATTAAAAGATACTGACCATTTAAACAAAAATGGTAACAATGTAATATGGAGTTTATAGTGTATGTAAAAATATAGCATATGACAATAACACAAAGGCTAAGAAACAGAAGTATGGTCCTTACATGTGAAATGGTATATCACTGAGAGTAGATCATGATAAGTTAAATACTGTAAACTCTAAAAGAACTCCTAAAATGACAAAACAAAGAGTTACGACTAATAAGCCAACAAAGATAAAATGGATCATGCAAAATACTGAATAACTCTAAAAGAAAGCAGAAAAACAAGAAAATGGAAACAAAAAACAGATGGGACAAACAGAAATCAAATGGCCACATGACAAATTTAAACCTATCCATACTAATAATTACATGAAATGTGAATGGTCTAAAAAACAAATTAGAAGGCAGAGCATATTGTAATAAACAAAAAAGCAAGACCCAACTATGTGCTGCTTACAAGAAATGCATTTTCACTACAAAGACACAAATTGGATAAAAGTGAAAAGATGGAAACAGATATATCAGAGTAACACTCATCAAAAGAAGAATGTTACCAGAGCAAAAAGATAAAAAGGGTTACTTGATAATGAAAAGGGTATATGTTCATTATAAGACATAACAATCTTAAATGTTTATGTACCTAATAAAAGAATTTCAAAATACATGAAGCAAAAAACCGACAAAATTTCAAGGAGAAACAGACAATCCACAGTCAGATTTCAATACCCCTCCCTGAATAAATGACAGAAATTAGTAAAAAAAAAAAAAACTAATAAGGACATAGAAGATCTGAACAATGCTATCATCCAATCTAACTGACATTTACAGGACACCCAAGAACAGCTAAAAAAAAAATGGACATTCTTTTCAGGTGCTCAGTGAAGATTTACCAAGATAGACCATATTCTAGGCCATAAAAATCTCAATAAATCTGAAAGAATTCAGAGTCATACAAAGTATTTCCCTGACCACAAAAGAATTAAATTAGAAATCAACAAATAGTTAAGAGGTAACTCTGAGTAACACAGGCAGCTTTTAACTGCTTTCCCACAACTACCTTATTAAAAGCATTCCCCTGGATAAATTTTGTTTCTCTGCAATAGACTTAATGTTCCATGGCATCAGAGTCCTACCAAGTGACTGTGGTGTAACGAAAGGAAGTTTTACTGTTATTTCTTACTCGACTAATTAATTAAAGGAGAATGGGAAAATCACTCAACTGTAACTGTCTTCAGAATACATCCTCAGTGTAAGGTACAGAGTAGTATCAATAAACATTTACAATTAATAAGTAAAGGGTATTCCAGACTAAATAAAAAATATGTGCAGAAGCCTTGAATCAAGAACAGCCATGGAAAATCTGGAACAATGAGAAGCCCATGTGGCTGGAGTGCAGAATATAAGGGACAAATGGAAGAAAACCACTATTGAGGAGGAGGTCAAGGACAATTTGACTACCATTATCAACATTATCTTCATCATCTAGACATTTTGCTAAGTGCTATAAATAAATAAATATATATATGTGTATATATATATTTCTAATGGCAACATTGTAAAATAGATATTATCACCATTTTGCAACTGAGAAAACTGAGATTTAGCAAGGTCAACAAACTTGCTCAAACTTGCTCAAAATTAGTAATAAGTATAGCTCTCAAGATCTGACTCCAAGGAGCACCTGGGTGGCTTAGTTGCTTAAGCATCCGACTCTTGGTTTCAGCTCACGTCGTGATGTCATGAGTTGTGAGATCGAGCCCCAGCCCCTCATCGGCTCTGCAGTTGGCGGAGAGTCTGCTTGAGGATTTTCTCCCTCTGCCCCGCCCCCTACTCACGAGTGCTCTCTCTTTCTCTCTCTCGAAAATAAATAAACCCTAAAAAAAAGTCTGACCTCCAAGTCTATGCTTTAACCATTATCAGTATGGTGCCTCCAAATTCCGTGAAAAAGTATGTCATATTTGTATTTGTTGCACTCTTTCAATTTTTACTATTATTAAGAAAATATGTTTTCATCTCATTCTTGGCTCTTTTCAAGTTAGCCTTCCTTCCTACCTTAATTTCTATATCCTAATACAAAAAATTGGTTTTCTTGGGGTGCCTGGGTGGCTCAGTCATTAAGCGCCTGCCTTCGGCTCAGGTCATGATCCCAGGGTCCTGGGATCGAGCCCCGCATCGGGCTCCCTGCTCTGCGGGAAGCCTGCTTCTCCCTCTCCCACTCCCCCTGCTTGTGTTCCCTCTCTCGCTGTGTCTCTCTCTGTCAAAAAATAAATAAAATCTTTAAAAAAAAAAAATTGGTTTTCTCTAATATTCTTCCTTCCTTGGTATTCTAAATTCCACATTATTTCCTCATATGGTTTCTTAAGTATGTGTCCATCTCAAATACACTTTACTATTTCCATTATAATCTTCAATTCCTTCTGTTTTTTCTTGTCTATGGAGGTTCTCAGGATAAAGAGTTCACAACCATAATCTATTTCCTAATTTTCATTAAACAGAGAATTTATCATTTACAATTTTTCTTCAAACTACTTTTCAAATTACCAAACTTCCAACTTTGTCTTTGAGCCAATTTTATCTTTGTGGGCTATGAATTTTTATCTTTTGCTTATATATTTAACCACATGCCTACTCGTAACAGTATTTTTGCTTATTAAAGGTTTTTCTTTTTTAATTTTTTCTTTTTGCTATGTTGTCTTATAATCACTTCAGTTAAAAGTGACCTCATCTGCACATTTATAATTCTAGTGGTGCAACTCTATGATCTAATAAATTATAACAGGACCAGACATGTGTCTCCATTGCTCAATAATAGCCAACTAAATTTTTGCCCACTGATAGAATCATAACATAGAAAAGAAAAATAGCTAAAATAAATATCTTTTAAAACTTTCTTCCCAGGAATTTTTATTCTGGAAAAAAAAATTGGTGGTTAAATATGACATTACTGAAATTCTTATATATTAAAAAAGGCCTTACAACAAGTCTTTTCCCAGAACCAAGTTTTTGTTGTTCAGTCTCCTGTCTTTTATCTGCATCCGTTGCAAAAGCAAGTACTTGGTACCTGTTTGAAAGATATGAATAATTATAAGTGATTTTATAGTTAAAAAGTATAAACTACTTTAAACTTTAAAATCACATAACTATAAACTTATGAATTACATTTTTCTTGGTTTTAAAAACTGTAAAATTTAAGACTGAATTCTTATTGAATGACACTGTGACATGAAACTATGTAAAACTGTCATGATAAAGAAATTATAACCATGTCCCAAAATTCCATATTGGGAAAATAGCTCTGCCTACTATCAAAGCATTTCCATTAGAATTTTATATGACAAACAACAATATTCAAGAAAGATCCAGCACCAAAACACCACATAGAAAAAAACATAAATAATGCAAAGCAGCCAGATGTAGTAGAAATTGTTAACAGATATTCTATGACACCCAGAAGACCAGTTTAGTCCCCAGATAAACCACTTACTAGTTGGCAAACTAATCACTGTGTCTTATCTTTCCCACCTACAACATGGGAATAATAATCTCTACCTCAAACATGGTTAAAAGAATTTAAAAATAATGTAATGCCTATTGGTCTATTAGGTGCCCAATAGATCAACAAACAGACAGACACAGATTTACATATAAATAGAGATCAATCACCTAGTAGTTTATCTGGTATGTAATAAGTTCTCAATAAGGTGCATTATGTACATTATGACTTTCTATAAGTGTTTGATAGCTTTTATTTCATTAGTAACCTTTAGCTTAAATCATTCTTTAAAACAATTCACAAATATCATTCAATCCTGAAATGATTAACTTAGCCAATAAAATTTAAATTCTCTTATTTCCCATTAATTAATGATATATTGTTAAAGTAATAATCCTACTCTGAATGAAGAAACTTCAGACTCATAAATTCCTTTCTTTCCTATTGAATCAAAACTCTTGCATTGTTCTTCCATAGCTAAAAGGAAAATCAGTAGATATATTTGGACATCTCATATTGTCTAAGAGAAAGATATCTGAAAGTGTAAAAATCAATGACCTGAATGAATAAAAGCAATGTGGAATACCTAAATAAGCATTAAAATGTACACTGGTATTCAAATGTCATATACCAACTCTTAAAACTATCTCAATCAGGAATACTTGGTAAAAAAAAAAAAATGCCTTTAATTGCAGTTGGATGCAAAATGACTAAGAATTAAGATAGACTTAGCAAGGTATTCACGAAAATCAGTCTTACGGTTAAAATGGAAGCTGAATGTATATGAATTTCATCAATTCAATAAACATATAGTAGCGATCTAATACATCTAATATATCTAAGAGTGCTCTGTGCTAATAATAGGAGGTATGCACATGGTTCCTGGGGAACATGGTGGCAGAAACAAGTAATTGAGATGGAGATACATGTTTTAGTATAGGTTCAGGAGGAGAAAGCCAGGTTTTAAAGAATGAGTGAACACTCATCATGCTGGTAAAGAGGTAAAGGCATTATGGCAAGGCCAACAGCACATGAAAAGGCAAGTAGTAAAAAAAGACATGAAAGGCCATGACAGGAGTTTAGGAGAGATGCATGGCAGGGAGGAATGAGTCATGGGAAACGAGACAAAAAAGGAAGGAGGGTGAAGATCTCAGCCTTGTAAAACCATGCTAAGAAATTCCATGGGCAGCTGTAGCAAATGTCTCCATACCATTTGAGACTGACCTACAAAATCCCTCTGTCTCCAACAGTGCCAAATAATTAGACCTCACATTCCAAGCTTCAGATAGGATTATTTTACTCTTCCCAGTACACAGTAACAGAAATTGTATGCACTGGTGACTAAAACATCAGCCCCAGAGCTGGGCCTGCTATGGATCCAACCTCAGGCAATTAATTACATAGGAGGTTCATTTCCTGCACACACCAACCTACTAGAGGATGATATGGATATTAATGAGATTGTTGTAAAAATCCAAACTTTTGAGCTGTCTGAAGCTTCTTACAGAACTACAAAGCATTATTATATCATCCAGGAATAAGTGAGCCCCTGAAGTGGCCTCATTAACATCAAAACAGCAGGCAGAGACACAGCCAAAATTGACTCCTGATTTCCAAACCCAGACGGTTGCTCTTCCTGGAAGACAACTCAGAGGAGTATTTTATTACTAAATGTAACTGACAGTAAATTTAGATGATGACAAACTTACAATAGCATCTATTTTATAGTTCTCCCTTAAGTCCTCTTTACTGTGACCAATAATGTACATGGAAACCTATTTCCAAAACCAAACAATTCCAGGCAGACTTGGAAATTCTGAAATAAAGAAAATATTTGAGTTTTTTTTTTTCTTACCACTCAAATGTTCAGTGATATAAGCTAAAGAATAAAAGTCCCTCATTGACACTGCTGAAAGAATAATCAGGCCCAGTGTAATAAGATTTCACAAGAGTGTATCATATGTGTTTCTCAACAGAAAGGCACTAAGCACAAATACAGCAAGTCCAGGTGAATGGTAGCACTTTTTGACCCAATAGCCACAAATGCTTAACAGGTCCTGTGGAACCCCATGACAAACTCAGCCATATAATTTAGTGCTCTTCCATATCACATCGTAAAAACAGCACCAAGTAACTAAAATATGGATTGAGGTGTCACAGAGCACAAAACTAAACCCTCCAAAATCAATTATTTTCAAATGAAACATAGTTGTCACCGCAAAGGTACCAGGAGATCTTGGAAACTTGGTATTTACCCAGAGAACTCTACTAGAAATGGAAGCTCCAGATACAGAGCATTACTATGTTCATTACAAGTAAAGCTAAAACATTCTTAGTTATGCCAGGAAGAGTCCTTTTCATTGAAACATGCCAGTAACAAAATAGCTTTCCTTACAAACTTTTCACTCTTTCATCAAGTTCTTGTTAAACATCTCCCTTTAGCAAGGTACAATGCTAGGCATTTCAGGAGATACAAAATCCCTGCCATCAAGGAGCAGTTAGCCCTGTCAAGGAGAAAAACAAGCAAATACGTAATACCAGTTAAAGTGTGACTAGTACTTGAGGAAAGAGCAAAAAAACTACTCCGTGAAATTAAGAAGGAGGAGGTGCTACTTATGGCTAGGTCAGGAAGAGGAGCAGCGGGGCAGGGAGGCTTCCAGACATAATTTTCATAAACAGAGAAGAAAGAAAAAACTTCAGATAGAGTACAGTATGAGCAAAAGAGGAGAGAGAGAAAAGCCCTGAACATATATGGAAAACAGATATTTCAATTTGGCCAGAGCCTAAGGTTGGTGAAGAACACAATATTCTTTTTAAAATATTGTCAATTGGGATGCCTAGGTGGCTCAGTCGTTAAGCGTCGCCTTCAGCTCAGGTCATGATCCCAGGGTCCTGGGATCGAGCCCCACATGGGCTCCCTGCCTGGCGGGAAGCCTACTTCTCCCTCCCCCACCCTCCCTGCTTGTGTTCCCTCTCTCACTGTGTCTCTCTCTGTCAAATAAATAAATAAAATCTTTAAATAAATAAATACATACATACATACATAAATACATAAATAAATAAAATATTGTCAATTAAACTCTACAAATAATTTAAAAATACTTCTTTAAAGTCACTTATCTACTTAGCAATGTACTAGGTACATGTTGGGTATGGTGTGTAGCAAAGAAAAGGAGAGAAAATAAAGCTCATGGCAGGTATACTTCTTCAGGGAGCCTCCCTCCACTGAACTCTTACTGAGAGGTCCCACCTGTAGCCTCCTCAGTATCCTGTGCACAGCTCTCTAGAGCCTCTATCACAATGAACTGAAACAGCTGACTTACTACCTCCTACCCTTGCTTGCATACTGCTTGAGGACAAGGGACAGCTCTGACTTGACTCTGCGCTTCCAGTACCTGGCACAGTGTGTGACACAGAGAAGCCTCTTGAAAAATGTTTCCTGAATGAATAATTGAATAAATGAACTTATTCAGCCATGTTTAAGACAAACTCTGCTCTCAGGAATCTGATAACACAAGACATACTCTGGAATATTTCAGCAGAATACAAGAAGGCAATATATGATATTTGGCAAAAATCAGTGTTTTAGGCAATAATATATCAAGGAGGTGAAAAAAAGGAGGATAATTGAACCAGTTAACTTTAAAAGTCCCTTCCAAATCTGAACATCCAAATTAACAGAGGTAGAATGGGACTGGGTTGTAAGGAGCACTGACTGTCGATATATGAAGGTTTCAGTTTTTTAATGGGCAACAAAAATTATTCTGGCTTAAACAGGTTATTTTAAAAGGCTAGATATGAGAAGGATCCTTCAAAGTCTAGATTAGAAGAAAACCAGAAATGCAAGTGAGAAATAAAGGCCTGAATGCCTTTATGGGAAATGGGAAGCAAAGGCTGAATACAAGGGAAAAAAGTACCCAAAGGTCAGGATTTACTGACCAAATAATTCTGACAAGTAAAGGAAAGAAAAAGAAAAAGAGAATAAAAGCTAATCCAAAATTGTAACAAACATTGCTAAGAGAATGGTGTTATCTATCCTGCAACCTCAACCCCCAAAAAAGGCAAACAATTCTCTCACTTCAAAAGAAAAACAGCAAAGTATGTTTCTAAATTAGAACCACCTAGAGTATATGTTTGCAGTGATGATTTCTCGCTCTTATCCCCAAACCTACTAAATCAAAATCTAGTGTACTGGTAATTGGGAATCTGCAAATGTGCATTTTATAACAGGCTGCCCAAATGATCCTTATGCACACTGAAGTTTGAGATCCACAGCCTTCACTAGTTCCTATCTGAATATAACTGAGCTTGTTTTAAAGTAATTAAATATCAATATCAAAAATGAAAATAAATTATGTCTTAAAAGTCTTTTCTATTAACTGATTTCATTCTATTAACTGATTATAAATAGATGAAGCCTCAAAAGAACAAACCTACAGGGGCGCCTGGGTGGCTCAGTTGGTTAAGCGACTGCCTTCGGCTCAGGTCATGATCCTGGAGTCCCAGGATCGAGTCCCGCGTCGGGCTCCCTGCTCGGCAGGGAGTCTGCCTCTCTCTCTGACCCTCCCCCCTCTCATGTGCTCTCTCTCATTCTCTCTCTCTCAAATAAATAAATAAAATCTTAAAAATATATATATTAAAAAAAAAGAACAAACCTACAGTTTTCATGCTTCCTCCAACCCTAAATTGCACCAGCGATTATCATTTAATTTAATCTATTAAACTTGAAAGCGTATATAAATGTAATATACTATTTAATGTTATAAGCCTTCTTAATTGCATCATTTCATAATAATCACATATCCTATGCATTTTTACCATTATAAAAGATCCACACAAGGGATAAGGTGTGTATTTTTAGTCCTAGATGGAGATGGATTTAATAGATTGGTATGTTGGTAAATTACCACAGTTCAAAGAGGGTGAGCTTCTTTGAGATTAAACTTACACGTTAAGGAAACCTACACATTGCTTCCTCATCCAGTCACTCCTGGAGTTATAACCAAATTAATTCCTATGCACATATTTCAAAGAGTAAGTCATGGAGCGTTCAAATCTTTCTATTGTGTCCCCAGCGTAGCACTGCCAGTTCCCTCCTAGGCAGGAGTTGAGGCACGGAACTGGGTGGAAAGCTGAAAAGCAGATCTCCTCAATATTGCTTAATCTTTGCCAGGCTTGAATGAATTATACAGATATTTTTCTCAACCCTCTCAAAATAAGTATATTTTATTTCTTACCAGTAGCAATGCCACAATTCATTCGTCTCCTTTGGATAAGAGCCATAGGAGTTAAAGAAGGAGTATGATATAATGACACAGTACCTCCGTCAGTTAACTTCTGCTTAGTCACAAACATTTGCTTATGTTCAGGGTTTTGAATCTAAGATACCTTGACAATAATTCACAAAAGGTAGACTGCCACTTAATGAAGGTGAAGGGAATACTGCATTAACATGCTATATGCACAATACTGAAACTTGAAGACAAAAATTTACAGGTGTTGCCTGATGAATTTATATTTCTTCCTGCCTTGGGAAAAATCATACGACCAAAAATAATACTGAAAAGCTATAATGAAGTGTTGCTTAGACGTTTAAAGTTCTAAGTGTTGCCATCGGTAAGATAACAACAATGTTACTGAAGATACTGTAATCCTCCAAGTCTATTTCTTTTCCAAGAATGAATTTGTACTTTCTTTTCCCCATTATCCCCTCCAACAAAAAAACACACCCTCCAAAAACTCAAAACCCTAATTTTTATTAAAATTTAGCTGGTAGAAGAAAAAGGTCTCTCTCAAACACAATCCCTCCAAATCAGTAAGAATTTCTAGCAAAAAGTATAAACTGTTTTCATAGGGTCATTTTCATACTTCATTTGTACTATGAATTGTTCTTTTTAAAACATTCATAATAACGCTTGTATTTTTGCTAGTATTCTTCCTATGTCACATATTTTTTTATAAAATAATTTCATATATGCATCTTTTCATCTGGCTTTTTTCACTCATACTGTGCTTTATTATTAATAATTCAGGAAACAGTCAATAATTAATCAGCATTTTCTATGGGGTGGCAACTTGACATACATTCAATCCTTTTAACAAGCTTGTCAAAATAGCCATTATTCCCACAACTATACGATCAATTAATCTTTGACAAAGCAGGAAAGAATATCCAATGGAAAAAAGTCTCTTCAACTGGGGTGCCTGGGTGGCTCAGTTGGTTAAGCGTCTGCCTTCAGCTCAGTCATGATCCCAGGGTCCTGGGATCGAGCCCCAAGTTGGGCTCCCTGCTCAGTGGGGAGTCTGCTTCTCCCTCTGCTCTTCCCACTGCTTGTGCTCACCCTTTCTTTCTTTCTCTCAAATAAATAAATAAATCTTTTTAAAAAATGGTGTTGGGAAAATTGGACAGCAACATGCAAAAGAAACTAGACCATTTTCTTACATCATACACAAAAATAAATTCAAAATGGATTAAAGACCTAAATATGAGGCCTGAAACCATAAAAGTCCTACAAGAGAACATAGGCATAACCTCTTTGACATAAGCTGTAGCAACTTCTTTCTAGATATGTCTCCTCAGGCAAAGGAAACAAAAGCAAAAATAAGGTACTGGGACTACATCAAAATAAAAAGCTTCCACACAGCAAAGGAAATGATCAACAAAATGAAAAGGCAACCTACGGAATGGGAGAAGATACTTGCAAATGACATATCCAATAAAGGGTGAGTATCCAAAATATATAAAGAACTTATAAAACTCAACACCCCAAAAACAAATGATACAATTACAAAATGGACAGAAAACATGAACAGACATGTCTCCAAAAAAGACATACAGATGGCCAACAGACACATGAAAAGATGTTCATCACCACTTACCATCAGGGAAAGGCGAATCAAAACTACAATGAGATATCACCTCATACCTATCAGAATGGCTAAAATCAACAACACAAGAAACAACAGGTGTTGGCAAGGATGTGGAGAAAAAGGAACCCTCTTGCACTGTTGGTGGGAATTAAAACTGGTGAAGCCACTCTGGAAAACAGTATGGAGGTTCCTCAAAAAGTTTAAAAAAATGTTAAAAACAGAACTACCCTGGGGCACCTAGGTGGCTCAGTCTGTTAAGCATCTGACCCTTGATTTCAGCTCAAGTCATGATCTCAGGGTCGTGAGATCGAGCTCCTCATCACGCTCCATATTGGGTGTGGAGCCTGCTTGAGATTCTCTCCCTCTGTCTCTCCCCACTTGCTCTCTCTCTCTCTCTCTCAAAACAAAAACAAGGATGGGTTAGCCTGGTGATGGGTATTAAGGAGGGCACATACTGCATGGAGCACTAGGTGTTATACGCAAACAATGAATCATGGAACACTACAAAAACTAATGATGTAATGTATGGTGATTAACATAACATAATAAAAAAAACAAAAAACAAAAGCAGAAATACCCTATGATCCAACAATTGCACTACTGGATATTTACTCAAAGAATATAAAAACAGTAATTCAAAGGGATACATGCACTCCTATGTTTACAGCACTATTTACAATAGCCAAGATATGGAAGCAGCTGAAGTGTCCATCTATTGTTGAATGCATAAAAAAGATATGATACACACACACATACGTGCATGCGAGCAATGGAATGTTATTCAGCCATAAAAAAGAATGGAATCTTGCCATTTACAACAAACATGGATGGAGCTAGAAAGTATAATGCTAAGTGAAATAAATCAGTCAGAGAAAGACAAAATACCATATGACTTCAATCATATGTGTAATTGAAGAAACAAAACAAATGAGCAAAGGGAAAAAAAAAGAGAGACAAATGAAGAAACAGACTCTTAATTATAGAGAACAAACTGATGGTTACCAGAGGGGAGGGAGATGGCAGATGGGTTAAATAGGTGCTGGGGATTAAGGTGTGCACTTGTGATGACCATCTGCTGATGTATGAATTGTTGAATCACTATATTACACCTGAAACTAATATAACACTGTATGTTAACTAACTGGAATTAAAAACTTTAAAAGCCAAAAAAAAAAAAAAAATAGCCATTATTATCCCCGTTACAACCAGGGTAAGGACACTGACTATCAAACAGCTGCAAGTAGCAAAATCAGGATTCCAATCCAGGTCTGCCTCTTTCCAAATCCTTTCTCTCAATCTCTGTACTATACTTGCAAATATTTTATAATATGTAAATGATATCCTCTAAATCACCACAATCACATTTTATCAAAGAAACCAGTCTCTTTTTCATTTGTAATATCCAAGCTTTTTGTAAAAAAATATTAATCAGCAACATACCAAGAGTCATGATTCCAAAGATTCAACATCCAAACTTACTTGTAACTTTCCACTTGTCGGCAGGAAGAGACAGTAATGAAGGAATCTGTACGGGAACTGTAAGCAAGAGGGCCAGGTAAAAGAGAACCAGGGAGAAATCTCCCAAAAGCATAGCTTTCCTGCTCAAACACCATCAGCATCCCATCCATAGACTGGATACAAATTAAATCTCGACCTAAAGAAAAATTAGAGGAAATTAGTGACTTTTTCTTTATAAATATAATGGTTTCCATTTATCACTATCCATCACAAAAATGTCATAGTTAATCTTTTCCCCAAAGGGGCAATATAAGCAGTTAAAATTTTATATTACAAACTGATAAAGCTATCAGATTATTGTATATCAGTATACATACATTTCCCAGTTTTTAAATTATTTAGAAGATGTCTATAATTTTAAGTACACTTATTTTCATTTACTATATGCTACAATCTCTAGCTCAAGATAATCTCTCAGAACAATCATGACCCTGTAAGATATCACTTTTTTCAAAATCAAAAATATAACAAAAACTAATGAGTAGAGGCTACTTCTCTTCTTCATAGTATGTCAGTCTCATACTTTCAAATGACTTAGACATGAGTCAAACACAAGAGACCAAACCCACAGACATGCGTTAGGCACCAGTTTTACACAAACCGTAGTGTTAAGCACTGTTGGGAGTGAAAAATACTAATATTGAAAAATACTAATCACAGATGCACCCTAAACTATGGACGGATTCTGAAGTGTCTTCTGCCCTAGAAACAGACAAAACATCTATAAACTACATATCAAAGCATTCAAAAAAGAATAACAGTCTGGGTTCAATATGGGCTCAGTATTGAGTGGGAGCAATTATTAGGCCTATACATCTCAAAAAGAGAAAAGTCATAGGGTATAAGAAGTTGTTAAATGGGTTTAATGTAGTTTTGTATAGCTCAGTCATTTGCAAAAAAGAACTTGTGACAGAGAAGCTAAATGTTCCCCCTAATAGCCATTCTTTCTTTTGATACTTGAATTATCACTAGACATGTGGCCATTCAGCATAAAAGTCTGCTTATCCAGGCCTCTATTACAGATACAATTACATGATTATGTTCTTGCCAATGAGATAGGAGCAGAGGTAATATGTGCAATACCCAGATACACCCGTAAAAGGACTGAGTATACCCTCCCCTCCATTCTCCCCAGCATGACGGTGGAACTGGCACAGCTGTCTTGATAGGCCTCAGAGATGGAAGCCACATATGGAGGACAACAGGGCCCACCCCCACCCACTACAGAGTGGGACCACTTTATCTTCAGGTGGTTAAATACGGCAGAAATAAACAGTCTCCTTATTTAAACCATCATTAAGTCTGTGTCTTTGTTAATGCAATCAAATATCTATATCTTAAATACCACAGAACTTATTTGAAACTAAAGATCCATTAGCATTGCTAAATCTTAAATTTTAGTTTCTTTTGATTGGATCCTGGTAATAAAAAACAACAAGGTAGGGGCACCTGGGTGGCTCAGTCGTTAAGCATCTGCCTTCGGCTCAGGTCATGATCCCGGGGTCCTGTGATCAAGCCCCGCATTGGGCTCCCTGCTCAGCAGGCAGCCTGCTTCTCCCTCTCCCACTCCCCCTACTTGTGTTCCCTCTCTTGCTTTGTCTCTCTCTGTCAAATAAATAAATAAAATCTTAAAAAAAAAAAAAAGGTATAGAAGACACTGGAACAACTGGGGAAACTGGAATATGACTATACGTTAGAAAAAATTAGGAATTATTGTTTTAAGTGTGCTCATGGTATTGTGATTATGTAAGAGAACATATAAGATTATGTTCTTATTGGGAGATGAGTGTTATAATATTTATGGATGAAGTAGCACAAGATCTGTACCTTACTTTTTTTTTTTTAAAGATTTTATTTATTTATTTGAGAGAGAGAATGAGAGAGAGAGCATGAGAGGGGGGAGGGTCAGAGGGAGAAGCAGACTCCTCACTGAGCAAGGAGCCCGATGCGGGACTCGATCCTGGGACTCCAGGATCATGACCTGAGCCGAAGGCAGTCGCTTAACCAACTGAGCCACCCAGGCGCCCTGTACCTTACTTTCAAGTGGATCAAACTAAATCTGTGTGTGTGTGTGTACACATATATGTAAATATACATATACATATACATATTATTTATAACTGTTGACTCTAAATGGTGGAAATATGGGTGTTCATGTTACTTTTTCTGGTATTTAAAATGTTTCACAATAAAAGTATAGACAAATGAAATACAGTGTTTAAATATAACCTTTTGTATACAAATTCACTTTCTTAACAACTGGGGGGGGGGGTACTCAGCATTAGTGAATTGAGTAGGACCTGGGAGGAGAACAATAAATTTAATCTTAATAAGCAAGAATCAAAGAGACAACAAAATTGAATTAATGAAAAATTTATGCAATGACCCTGACCTATGGGGGAGAATATTACTGTAATCAAAATGTATTCTTGATGTCTGTATTATTAAAGAATGTGAGGTCAGAACATGTGTATTTCTAAGCAGAAGTACCAATGAAATTTGAGTTCATTTCAATATGTTGAATATCACTGAACCACAAATCTTCAGACTCCCAAAGACCTAAAAGAAGTGGTCCTCAAAGCATGGCTCCCAAGTCACCAGCATCAGTATCATATAGGAACTTCTTGGAAGTGCAAATTATAGGATTCTGCTCTAGATCTACTAAATCAGAAACTCTGCTATTAGGGTCCAGCAATTCTGGGTTTTACCAAGTCCTAGAGGCTTTCTGACGCACGCTAAAGTTTGACAACCACTGCCTTTGCATGGTATAACAAAGAACTAGAGTTTGAAGAAAACTTGAGCCCCAGAGAAAACTCGGCTCCTTAGCATGGTACTATATGAAGTCTTATTTTCTGAGACTCTAGCAATATAGAGGAGCATACTTATACTGTAATGTCCACATGGGCTGTCTCTACTGTCAGATAATCTGGGTTTGAGTCCAGCTCCACCAATTATTGGCTATGAGCTTGGGCTCAAGTTTCCCTGTCTGCAAGACAGCATACCTACTTTAGTTAGCTACTGTGCAAATTAAATGAAGTATGGAAACTAGATCCAGCAGGCAGCAAATACTCCATCACATTGTTATTTTATAAGTTATTTTATAAGTCTCTACTACACATTGTACTGATGTTCAACTACTTGCTGCTTCCCACATACATCATGATGTGTATGCTTCCTTGATTTTGCTTATGTTATTACCTTTCCCCAAAAAGTCTTACACTCATATTCCCCGGTCTAGTGCACATTTGCTGGCAGCCTCTTGGTCGTCCATTCTCTCCTCCTATCTTTGGCCATGAGGTTTGAATAATGAGACTGACTTCATTCTAAGCTTGAGGGTAGGCCCTGACTTATCCAAACCAATCCGTATTTCATTAATCACAGTGATTGGTTCGGGGATAGGTATAATTTACAGTCAATGTGCAAAATTAAATCTCTTGGTTTAGCTAGAACTAGAGAAAAACTTACTCTTCCCTCTGGGGAATAATATGTGAGGAGGATAAAGTCTGGAATCACAGAGGCCATTTGGCTTTTACAAAGGCACCATTAAAAGAGGGCCATGGAAGACACGGTTTGAGCCAAGGCATCAAGCGTAACTTGAAGCCAAACCTACCTGGGAACTTTGCAGGCAATAAATTCCCATAAATATTGAAGCCACTCTGAGTTAGATCTCTGTCCCTGAATCAAGTGGATCAACCCATTTGTCCTCTGAGAGACATCACAAACAGGCTCATCTCTTTCCCCCTCAACCACCCTCCATGTGTGATCCCACAGAGCTCCATCCTCACCTCCATCTTACAACTAATCATCAGTTGAAATGATCTGTTTTTGTGTCTCTTGTTCACCCTAGACTAAACTCCAAGGCAGGAAGCATGTCTTACTCATCTCTGTAAATCCAACAACTATAAAATGCCTGGCACATAGGAGATACACTAATAAATGTCTGTTGAACTGAAGTAAGCTAGGCAAAATAATTTATTCATCTGAAGTTCAGATTGGCTGAGATTTTATTCTATGTGTTTCACATACTGCATTTGAAGTATGTGAAAAATGCTTTATTTATTACAATCTCAGCTGCTGACGTTTAGAAAAATGTAGGGATCAATCCAAAACATTACTCAAAAATAAATAAATAAATCCTTCAAATCACTGCTTTGGAAGCCACTTCAGAATACATACCAAAGGCTCCCCTTACAGATAATGCGAACAGAAAGAACAGTCTAGAGAAGCCATGAAAGTTTGTAGTTCTGACAGAACAGAGCCAACAGGAAGCCTTCATAAAAGCGATAGGATTTCAGGAGCTATTTAAATGACCTAGCCCTGAACCATACTCAAAGTCCTTACCACATGCTCAGTATTATATTAGGAGCTGTAAGAAATATAGAACATCAGGAGTAAAAACTACTATTGACATTTACTGAGCACCTGTTATATTCCTGCCTTTGTGCTAAACATTTACCCAGCATATTAGCTATAATCTTTAATAACTCTAAAGGTGGACAGTAGTCCCATGTGACACATGAGAAAACTAAAACCCACAGAGTTTAAATAATTTGCCTAGGGGCACCTGGGTGGCTGAGTTGGTTAAGTGTCTGACTTTTGGTTTTGGCTCAGGTCATGATCTCAAGGTCATGAGATCAAGCCCCACATGCAGCTCCATTATCTGTGCAGTCTGCTTAGGATTCTCTTCCTCTCCTTCTCCCTCCCCCTCTGCCCCTCCTGCTGCTCACACACTCTCTTTTTCTCTATATAAAATAAGTAAATAAAATATTTAAACAATAATAATAATAATTTGCCTAATGCCAAAGAGTTAGAAAATGACAGAGCTAGTACTCAAATAGAAATCATTCTCACTCGATTATACCACATGTTCCCGGGGAGACTTCATTATACCACACTGGATCCATTTTAAAAATTAATGTAAGTTAACATACAACATCTAAATGATGTGAAACAGACTAAGTACTACAGAAAATCAAAGAGCTTCATTACAATGAACATCCTGGGAAAGATTTCATGATAGAGATAGGATGTATCTGAGAAGGATAGGTATAATGAATAGGGGTCAAAGTTAAGAGTAGAGAAAGCTTCTGGAGGGAAAAGGAACATACTAGAAGAAAATGCAGAGGCATTTAGACT